TGCAGCACATAGTGGGACTGTCAGTGACGTAAACTAAAATAATTGCAACAGCCAAAATCTCATGTCTATTCATGCATTTGGTTATTAGACCACTAATTACAGAATGTTGGGAGGGAGCCAATCATCTGAAAGTGGAATCTAAATCAACCAGTAATCATGTAACTTGTGTAACTATTTGGTGGTTTTTTATTGGTTGGCAGGTTGACAGTGAGTAGCTTGTCACTTGCCACTCTTCTTATAGAACCATCATACAGATTGAATCAAATTATGAAGAGGTTTTTCAGTGTGTTTGAAACACGAGCATATATGCTTTTTGTTATAATAACATATGCTGTATTGTCTCGTATTCCTGACACATTGGACAATCTTCAAGTGATGGATTAGGCATTAATCTTCCGTAAATGGTTATGACAAACAGTAATTTTGGAGAAATTGATGTGAATTGTCTCCTTCGGTGTTAGAAAACTCATTGAACGATCTACACATCTTTTTTTTTCATTATTATTATTATTGAAACTGAATCATTTTATGAAAATACAGACATTACACCAGATAAGATTGGTTTAAACTTAAAACATGATTATGTTTTGTCTCTTAAAATAAAAATCAAATTGTACTCATATTATAGTAGATAAAGTCTTAAAGAGAAAGGGACTAATTGTTGTTTAAAAATATGGCACTTGTTGAGAATAGAGATTTTGGCCATTAATTGTTGAAGTGGTAGAGTGTAATCTGTATCTTGATTAAATTAGGGATTAGATTGGATCAGATTAGATTACTTGATGGTATAGGAATTAATGTCTGCAATAACAAACCAAACTATAAAAGATCAAGCATTATGCAACTTGCGTAGAGAACATGCATGTTGATTGATGGCGAAAAACCAAAGCTTCCTTCGAACCATTCGATCATTTGTGCTTATAATTAATCAACCAAGTATTAACGATTATTCAAGAGTTATTAAATAAATAGGGGGTGCTACACACTAAATCTGTGTATTTGATTTGTGCACTAAATGATCTGACACATTCTACACCATATAAATTTATAGGATTTTTATCACAAATGGTTCCTGGATTGACCTAACTCCTCATTTTAGTCCCTCAATTTCATGCCGCCTCCTGAAATTGGTCGTCGCAAATCAATTGGATCCTTCTGTGCAACATTAATGGAATAATTGACGGAATAGTAACATAATGACTAAATTGATTTGCGATAACTTATTTTAGGGATGACATTTATTGACTTTGAAATTGAGGGATCAAAATGAAAAGTTAAGTCAATTCTAGGAATCATTTGTGATAAAAACTCTAAATTTTTATACAATTATTAATCAAATTTCAAATTTAAGTAAAGTATAAAATTAATTGGTATCACATTATTTGATGCACGAATTTATTATATGCAGCACCACCTATTTAAATAAGAAACACTAAATACAAAAATTAGCACTGATGCATGTTTTTGTACTGCTCATAGCCTCATATGCCAGAAACCCTAAATACAAAATGTTTTGCTTTTACTTCTACACAAATTAATTATATTAAGAATGAATATAACTTTCAAACACAAGATCTCGGGTGTAGATATTTTCCGAACATGAAATTAACGTTATTTTGATAAGGATCAGAAGCACAGCTAATTACAATAAAATATGTTTACATAAGCAAGGGTCATTAGAATCCATGGTATAAAATAAAAACTAGTTGCAGAAAAAATTTCTTAAAGTACTATGTATGAATTTAATCATTAACAACAAATCAATTAACGTTGGCTACGTCAGGTAGAAGATACAGTCTCTGTTTTTTGGTCAAGGGTAGAAGATACTGCCAAAAACATATGTGGAGTCTTCTGCTTTTGTGTGCGCTTATTTTTATTAGTCAGAAACATAGAGCTAAGAGTAAATTACACATTGATTGGGTCACACAATATCAAATTTGGCATGTGAACAAACACAAAGTAATGATCATTTGGTATATTTTAACCTCCCTATACTTTTATTTAAAAATTTCCTGATGCTAAAAGTAATACGTGAAGTACAAAAATTATGCACTTTGTTCGGTTACGCATGCATGATACAAAAGAACCAATTCATAAGAGATAGAGTGGCTAATAGGAGAAATTTTTTATTGTGACCGGAACACGAGTGGTACAACATGTGGTTTTATATAAGTGCTGAGAAATATTATTTTTTATGTTATTAACTTTTTAACACACATATCTCACTATTCGTGTAATGACACGTGAAGTACTATTCGATGTTCCAATCACATTGAAAAATCTCTTGCTAAATAGGACTTTGTTGACGCTATTACTACATAGTCAACTTGAAAAATTATAACTTGCCTCGATTTTCGGTGTGATTCTTTTGTGGCTATACATATATTTTCTCAAATAAACTGTCTGAGGCTAGTGCATATATATGCATATTAAAGACAATAAAATCCTACAACAACCACAACAACAACAAAGCCTTTTCCCACTAAGTGGGGTCGGCTATATGAATCCTAGAACGCCATTGCGCTCGGTTTTGTGTCATGTCCTCCGTTAGATCCAAGTACTCAAGTCTTTTCTTAGGGTCTCTTCCAAAGTTTTCCTAGGTCTTCCTCTACCCCTTCGGCCCTGAACCTCTGTCCCGTAGTCACATTTTCGAACCGGAGCGTCATTTGGCCTTCTTTGCACATGTCCGAACCACCGGAACCGATTTTCTCTCATATTTCCTTCAATTTTGGCTACTCCTACTTTACCTCGGATATCCTCATTCCCAATCTTATCATTTATGGCGTATTTATTTTAGATGCTAAAAAAAAAAAGCAGTTGCAGATTGTGAGTGAGCACGTGGTTGATTCTCCTGATATTTAGGGCGTATTTATTTAATTCACTGCATTTTAAGTCATTTCTTTCTGTTTTCTTTAGCGTAGTTTAAGATAAAATATCACTTTTAAACCGAAATAAAAACTAACGGACACAATTTTTTGATGATAATATAAAAGGTGAGAGAATGATTGAAATAGCTAGTAGACCAAGGTGCGTATGAGAAGCCCCACTTCCTAATCTTTAATTGTATCACTGATTAATTAATTGATCTTCTTGTTAAGTTCAAACTACAATTATTTTTAAATTTGCCGTCTAATTGGCTTAGAGGATCTAGTGGGTAACATTTTTATGGAATCTTTAGGTGAAGGTTTCTTTTAGATGCTAATAGAAATGGAATGAGAGATCGACAGGGGTATTTTCAAGCTCGATCACACAAGTATTTCTTTTCGTTTTCCAGGTTATATTTTATTCTTCATGAACCAAACGGAAGAGTTATATAATTTATCTTTTTTTCTTATTTTTAGCTTATTTTAGTGATCTTCAACACAAATGTACACTAAAGGGTGAGGAAAATTTAATCTCGAAACGTAGATAAGATCATATAACTACCAGAACAATCCATTGTTTACGATAATTTTATGGAATGTGACTCTTATTTCCTTTTCTTTTGTTTTTTGTTTTTAATTATTTAGATTGTAATAATCCTTGGTTTTACTTACAGATTTATTTCTTTGAAATGTAGTCCTGTTCTGAATTTTGTTAAGAGATACTTTTGTTAAACGAGGGCAGTTTTAAGTTGTTTGAAAATCTATCCACAAGGGGTAAGATGAATTCATCCCTATTAAAGCACTTCCACCCCATTAAGGCAATAATTACTCCGTCAATTGGGCAAAGACAATTATAAACTTAGTAAATAATAATTGTCAGAATGCATCTCTACCCGTAAATAAATTGCTCAAGTGTACAAAATTTTTGACTCACACAAATATATTATTAATCCCAATTACGCACCTCAGAATAATACCTATACTAACTAACTTATGTGTCAAAATTCCATTGCCCCGCCGAGAAAAAGTAGGCTGATCTAATTATGTTGAAAGTGTTACATGTGCAAACCCCTTTTTATTGTAAGCTGATAAGAGCAAAGGAATGTTGAAGTCTTTGGCCAGCTTTGGACTCAAACAACTACCCCCGATCACCTCAACTCAACTCATCTATATTCGTAGATATTTCTTTTGCATGATTTGAGAACCAAAAACTAATGCATGCATACACACGTACACAACAGCAGACGCATCCACCAATTTCAAATTTGAATTATCTTTCGACATATATATATATATATATTAAGTGTTTCAATAGTTTTCCCAAAGAAATTATATATAGGATATATGTGAAATCTTGAGTTTGATTTCTCCGCAATGTCTTTGATTTAAAAAAGATCAATTTTTCTTGAATAGTCCCAAACTAGCTATTCAGTAGTTCGAACAAGTTAACGGTGAAAATTAGCTCTAAAAATTGAATGATGAATATTATTTAAAAAGTAGAAGTGTCGATCTACTTGGTAGGCTAAAATACTGAAGACAAACGCCAAACAATGACAGGATATGTCGGAGAGAAGTCTGGTGTGCATTGCCAATAAGATAGGACTAATTTAAAGGAGTTTATGTAAAGCAGGTTGCAAAAATTTGTCAAAGAAAGGAAAGAGTTTTAAAAAGTTGATGGAAATGATTAATCATGTCTTCCATTAGGATTATGATTGTCGTATTAAATTTACGGATATGCTATTTATATACTTATTTTTATTTTGTATAGAAATTTTGTTAATTTATATCTTTTTGATTTTCTTCAACTTATTTGATCGGACAAAAATTAAAAAAGACACCCAAAAAGTTAAAAAAAAGTGCTCGAATATCACATATTTAGATTTATTAGTGCTGCTGTGATAATTACAAAAATGGAATAAATCAAAGGTGACGACATCAAATTGCAACAAGGAACAGACAACCACTTGTTAATTGTGAGAAACTAATTTGTAAATTTGTACGACCTCCAATTGGCGCGTGGACTGCCCTCCCCCTCAAAAAGCGCGTGACCAAGTTCACCATCTTGTCCTCACATGGTCGAACTCAATCATTTACGCAGCCGAACCCAAACAGCAAACAGCAATTGAGGACATTATTTTTTTCAGCGAACTGCAAGCTTAAAGCTTTCATCTTTTAATTTAGAGAGAGAGAGAGAGAAAGGTTTCAAAACCCAAGTTTCTTTACAAGTTAACGTTGTTGGTTTTACATTGTGAGACATTTATATGTGTGTCTCTGTGAGTCAGCATTTCATTTGCTCTGTTTCAGAAACTTTGGAAGTACAAAGATCTCTCCCCTCCCGCAGGTCCGTATATATTCTTATCCAATCAATCTCTCTCTCTCTTGGTTGTGCTACAACTTTATCTCTTTTCTGTTTCCTATGTCTATGTATGTATCTGTTTGTTTATATCTGTATTTATCTGCTTTTTTTTTTTTTTTTTTTATATTTTCTGTAAGATTTTCTTTGTGTGAATCTTTTCTAAGTTGGGTTTTTGTAAATTTGGAAAATTTTCATCAAGTTGCTCGCTTTTCTCCGAATCAGTGACTGTTCTTCTTTTTCTCTGGTGAGTCATATGGCTTTCTGTTTAATTAGTATATGAGAGAATATTTTCAAATTACTGACAGCCTATTGCCATGCTATAATGTTTTAATTTCTTCTGATTTTTGAAAATTTTTTCATAGTTTTTTTTTTTTCATGATGAAAACTCAGTTTTAAGATCTTCAAAAAAGTATGAATTAGAGCGAAAACTTTCACATTCTGACTTTGTAGTTGGGTAAATCTGAATCATCCTATGGATTGTGGATAGGCTGTTGAGTTCAATCTTTAATGGTTGATCCTATTCGTTTAGGGAAAAAGGGTATTCATCCTATTTGACAGTTTTAACCTTCTACAAGTGACCAAGGCTAAACATTTTTTCATAAGATATTAGTGATCCCCGGTCGAGGATTCCATGTGCTGTTTTGAATTTTTGCTGGTTTAAGTCGTTGTTTGAATCTTCGGCCAAGGTTAGAGAAATTCTAACTGAGGCTTAAATGAACTCTACGGCATAATTTTTTAATTGAAGTAACGAAATGAATGCAATTTTTTTGTCCTTATGGTATTGCAACAAAAGTTTTTGGTTAAATTCAGCAAATAAGGAGGGAACAACATAAGGGTTTGATATGGCAGAGGGCCATTAGTAAGAGGCACAAAGTTATTTTATTTGATAGTTGTGTGCCCTTAAGAATCATGTGGAGGGATGGCACGAATATTTTGAAATGTTTAAATTGCGAGTGAGAAATGGGGGATATAATCTTTAAGAACTATTTGAATCAAGGAACATTGTAAACGGGAGTCTTTAACTGGTATTTTAAGAAAATTTAACTCAGATGTGGTGATCAATACGCAATTAGTTTTCTGCTCTATACTTGGTGCATTACCTATCAGATGCTATAAAAACAAAAAAATTGCATTTGCAAGGGTGTTCGTGAACGGTTTTCTGATTTTGTTAGGTTAGTGTGCCATCAGTGACCAAAATGATTGTATGTTTTTGTCATCTTTTTCGTCCTGTTATTAGATGCCATGCCATAATGCTGATCACCTGTTTTGGTGATCTTTCCTGCAGATCTTCTACCTTAGAAGATGGTCTTCCAACTGAGAAGACCATGCTCCATTTATACAACTTACTGGTGCTTTAGATTTGAGTTAGTTCCTTTCGTGTCCGTGTTGGTGGTCTAGTTTCTCCATACAATTAAATGTACCCCAATCACTCGTTCGTGATTCTTTTATTAGTGAAACTAGCATCTGGTGTGGGAGTACTTTATTACCCTGTAGATTGAGTTGAAGAAAACTTCTTATTTGTGGAAATGTAGATTCTTGGTTCTGCTGGCTCCTAGGGTGGAATTTGAACTTAAAACCCTTTGCTTACCATATCTCAATCTTGCTAATCAAGTTGAAGCTTTAATTCTAATTCAGTGTATCTATTCTCAATCTAGATATAGAGATTTCCACCAATAGAAGTCGACATATTGCACCGCATATTTGATAGATTGATGAAGGTTGGGTTTCCATCTGCAATCATGAGTCACCATGGTGTCATCTCTGTACCACAAAGTGAGACTACCAAAGGAGTCACATCATCATACTGTACTTCTCCTTCCCCGATACATGATTTTTTGGGTAGTGAATCAGAAGGCAGGAGTTTCACGGCCAGTAAATGTTCATCTCCACGAGTGTCTCCTTTCAAACGGGCAGAATCTCTTGGCTCTCCTACTAATATGCGAGGATCTCCTGTTCAACATTCCAAGAGCCCATTTTCACGTTCTTCTGTTTTCTGTACCAGTTTGTATCAGTCTTCTTCATCGAGCTCTGAAACCTCTCGGCAGCTTGGGAAATTTCCATTTCTTCCACATCCTCCAACATACGGCCAGTCCAATTCTGCTGTTGATTCAAAATCACCATTGCTTTTTAGTGAGGATACGAGCAATCAATATGATGACGAACAATCCGAGGATCTCATGAAAGACTTTCTTAATTTGCATGGAGATGCCTCTCATGGAAGCTTCCATGATATTAGTTGTGGAACTGACGCTCTAGCACTTACAGAACAATTAGAGTTACAATTTTTGTCAGATCAACTTGACATAGCTATCACGGACAATGGAGAAAATCCCGGGCTTGATGTAAGTAAAATGTAGTCATCTTTAGTTACATTTTGATCAAATAGGATTTGCTAAAAACTAAGAGATATTACTGGCTTCTAGTTTTAATCACATAAGTTTTGGATATGGATGAACTATAAATGGCTTGTTTTTTAATCAGTTTCGAATTTCTTGGTGATATTTAATATTTATCTTGTCATATATTTACTAGTACTTTTGCCTTCCATTATGTTGTTTTTATAGGAAATATATGAGATTCCTCAAGCCTCACCAAACACAGCTATAGGACTGACAAGTAGTAAGGGTTCTTGCGTGACAGCACCACTCGTTGATGCTCTTTCAAGTCACCCCTCTCCTGGGCCAGCCTCTGCACATAGGCCAAGAATGCGATGGACACCTGAGCTCCATGAGCGTTTTATAGAGGCTGTTAAGAGGCTTGATGGGGCTGAAAGTAAGTACTGCACCATCTATTCTACTTTCAACTCGGGTTTCGTTCCATTTCAATGGGAGCCCTAGTTGTATATGTTACTCTATTAATCAAATTACAAATTTCTCGGTTACAGAAGTTGCCAACATTATTTCGATTTTTATGGAGCACTCACTAGTGTAATTTAAAATGCAGAGGCCACTCCGAAAGGTGTATTAAAGGCTATGAATGTTGAGGGCTTAACCATTTATCATGTGAAAAGTCACTTACAGGTACTCGTCTTTAAGTTTTTGGTGATGTAAGAGTAAAATGTTGTACTTATTTTAGCTATTTGACAGTATATTGTTAATTTCTAATTATCTGCAGAAATACCGGCTTGCCAGGTACATGCCAGAGAAAAAGGAAGGTAAGGAACAGATTTCAAAAGTAAATCATAGCTTTTGTCAAGTCGTAATCTCAGCAATTGAGCTGTGTTTTAGAAGTAAAATTTATTTGCTAGTTGGCTGCAACATGAGAACTGAACTAACCGGGCCCCAATATGATTATGCAGTAGTTGGTTTGAAATCTTTGTTTCTCGAAGGGCTTAGTTTTAGGTTTACCTTGGCTTCAGCGAGTTAGAATGTGATATTGGTTGGTAGTTTCAGTTTGGGGTGTCGATTGATCATGTTTATCAAATGTCACTAGATAGTTTGACAGGATGGTTTTTCAGCTAAATAGAAGATCAGATCTGATTTCCGATAATGCATGTAGCTGAATGTTCATACAAATTGTTGACCTGCACTTTTCTCTTCACTCCTTAGATAAGAAGGCCTCTAACTCTGAAGAAAAGAAAGCTACTTCAACCATTAACGAAAGTGATGGACGTAGAAAAGGGTCAGTATTGCTTCTCATATATATCTAGTTTTCTCAACAGATGTTTGGATATTATTTTGTTCTGTGAAACTTCATCTTTCTTGTCTCAGGAGCATTCCCATCACGGAGGCTCTGCGCCTGCAAATGGAAGTTCAAAAGCAACTGCATGAGCAGCTTGAGGTGAGAGTTCATTTGAAGTTGATCACAGTTGATGTATCCTTTTTTTCTTCTGGCTGCATATCTGTTTCATGGTATACGTAGGTCAGACCTTGAGTCATTTAAAAAAGTTTCGGTTTCGATCTTGTATATCCTGCATCGTAAACATAGGTTCAGAGGGCCCTTCAGCTACGCATAGAGGATCACGCAAATACTTGCAGAAGATCTTGGAGAATCAACAGAAAGCCGGCAGTGCTTTACTTTCTCCGCAAGTTTTGTCATCTCTCACAACAAATTCCATTCAAGTGTCCGAGCAACAGCCTTCTTCATCATCCTGTGTATCACCCCCACAACTGGCTGAGTCTGACTCATCATCGCATCTATCACTGAAGCATAAAGCTACTGACTGTAGTGACTCTGAGCTGTCGGCGGGCACCAAAAGGCCCCGTCTTGAAGAGAAACCAGATGAGGGTGCAGTCGAAAATCCTCAGTTATAACTGCTTCATCAACACCATTCCTCTAGTCTCAATTCCATTGTTTGTATCATGTATAGAACTTCTGAACTTTTTGTAGCTAAAATTAGCAATTGAATTAATATTGCCTGATTTGTCTCTTGACAGAAAGTAGTAATAAGAGGAAGAGAAAATCAACTTTTTAGTTCAATCATTCTGACAATCAGCTATTTGAGTAAAAATCCATTTGTTGCATAAAATGTTGAGACCCTGCTCACGAATTTGCTTTGGAGTGTTGGAGAAATAGGTGTGGGTGCTCCTTAAGAATAGGATGTCTTCCTATGCAGGTGATTTGGATAAAAGGAAGTCTACTGCAGGCTATGTGTTTACTATGGCTAAAGGGCCAGTTTGTTGGAGGTCCATTTTGCAGTCATCTATTGCCTTGTCTACCACAAAGGCTGAATATATGGCAGTTGCTAAAGCTATAAAGGAGGACATTTGGATACATGGACTGATTAGAGATTTAGAGGTTGATCAGAAGCAAGTGGAGTTGCATTGTGATAGTCAGAGTGCCATTTATTTAGATAAGTATCAGGTTCATCATGCGAGGACTAAGCACATAGATGTGCGTTATCTTTGTTTGTGAAGTTGTTGGTGAAGGGGATATCATTCTCCAGAAGATTCCAACTAAAGACAACCTCGCTTATATGTTTACGAAAGTTGTTGGTGTAGCCAAGTTTGTTCATTGCTTGAACTTGGCTCACATTTTGCCTATATAAAGAAGACGTTGAACAGTAGGAGCTTTGGAGCATTTTGGCTCGGCATGAGTTGTTCTCTTGCTACTTTCGGGAGTGGTTTGTGTTGATTGTTGATTATGTTTGTTTGGCTAATCATTACGCTTTCGGAATTTGGCCAAGGTGAAGATTGTTGAATTGGTGGCCAAATTGTAGTGGGCCACTTCTTGACCCAATAGCCCATTAAGTGGGCCTTTAATTAACCCATGCGGAAGCCATGTGCTGTGGCTAGTAGGGTTTTTAATTGGCAGCAACTGCTGCCCATTTTGTCTGAGTTGCAGCAGAAAACAGAGAGCAGCACAGAGAAGAAAAAGAGCCACTGCCGCAGCCCCATTTCAGAGAAGGAGGAGTTGTTGCTCCTTTCATTGGTTAGCTATCACTCCATCAAAGTTGTATTTGTTGTATTAGTTTTGAGCTTTGTATAAAGAGGAAATTATTCACAATATTTCCTTCTCAATTTTTTTCTTTGGTGAGTGAGAGTTATTGGGTGTATTGGGGTTTTGGGTTGTGAGATTGCCAACACTTTGTAAACTCCCATTTGGTTGATAGTGGATTATTTGGTGAGCTCCTATTGCTCCGAGAACGTACTCCAGTTACACTGACTGTTGAGGAACCTCGTTAAAATCTTGGTGTCTTTTATATTTTGTTCTTGCATTCCATTTGATATATTTCCTGTGAGTTAGATTGAGTTGGTTCGAATTGGTTTGGTGCTATCCTAGCACAACAGAGGGGAGTTCATTCCTCCTCGTTAATGCATGAGAGCAAAAAATAAACATGATCACGAAAAAACATACATGATCACGAGAAATACTTGCAGAAGATCTTGAAGGATCAATAGAAGGTCGGCAGTATCTTACTTTCTCCACATGCCTTGTCATCTCCGAGGACCAATTACATTCATGAGTCGGAACAATAGCCTTCATTATCAGCAGGTGGCCTGATGCATCACCCACACAACCGGGTGAGTCTGACTCAACAGCACCTCGTCACTGAAGCATAAAGCTACTGATTGCAGTGACTCTGACTCATCAGCACCTCATCACTGCAGCATAAAGGCTACTGATTGTAGTGACTCTGAGAAGCCGGCGTGCACCAAAAAGCCCCTCCTTGAAGAAAAACCAGATGACGGGGCGGTGGAGAATCCTCAAGCAATAACTACAGTCACAACACCCACTACCATAAACTTCTTAAGTCTCGTGCATTATTTGTATTGTAGAATCTAAGGATACACAGTTTCTGAATATACCTCTTTCATTTCATTCAATGTTCATAAAATTACAATGGTGCTTCAGTATATACATAGGCAATATACTACTCTCACAATTACAATTATGCCTTGACTAATCTACCAATTTACAAAAGAATTACAACAAACATTTAACTAACTTGATGACTCAATACTTGACTCTTTACAAGCTGAACTTGGATGCATCCAAAGGTGTAAGAGAAAGCTTGGATTGCAAGTACAAGAACCTGGATTTAGACAAGGATTTAGTATGAATATCTGCTAATTGGTCCTGAGTGCACACATATTGGACTTTGAGTAGATTAGCCAGCACCAACTTTCAAATATAATGATAATCAAGTTCAACATGCTTGGGTTGAGCATGGAAAACTGGATTGGAGGTGATGAGTCCATATTATACCATATATTTTACCATAATCTTAGTTATAGTTTATTGGTTATTTTGGTAGAATTTTGATACTTTGTTATGTATTTCCAATGTAGGACATTCGATTTTCTCTGGAGCAAAAAGTGATCAAACGGATTAATTTTGGAGTGATTCCAATTGGAGGATGTTCGTGAGTCTTTCAAAATAATTTTACCAAAGTTTCAGATTTTTTTACCAAGCCGTTTGACCGTGCGATGAAATAAAGACCCAGCGTGCGCACACTTTAGAGAGCTTTGAAGTTTATTTTTAAGGTGTTTTCTATCCTTGTTTTTAATAATATTTTGTTTATGATTGTTAATAACTAATTTCCGTTTGCTAGGGTGAGGCCACAAGCCTTAGCAAGAATATGTAGTTTCTTTTCAATTTGCTTATGATATGATGCATGTAGATTTTGAATTATTAATCATCGGTTTAAACTATCTAATTTTCTTAATGCTTAGCTACCATTAGGATTCTTAGAAAAGTAATTTGATGCAATTTTGGTCGGAGGCCAGTCCCTGAAATTGATGAAGGCTTCTTGTGGTTAATATGTGCAAGTTCACTTAGGATGAATACTACGTCTTAAGGATTGTATGGTTTTTCAAAAGGTTACACAAAGCTTAATGAGTCATGCATGTTTAGATTTGATCTGAATACCACAAACGGGTTGCATGTTTGATATACGCTCTATGTTGGCGGTCCAAGTAGGCATATATTAGGAAAACCTAACCTTCAAAATATGCATGTGTAATTCATAAGTAATTGGAAGAACTACATAGGATTATTAAAGTGACTGCAGAACCCTAGGCTTTTACAATTTAATTTTAAAAAACTATTTTCTTTTAGTTTATTTTATTTTATCACTTTATTTAATCATTTTCTATTAAATTCGTTTTTATTATTTGAAATAAAAAAATCAACTTTTTCTTGAACTTTGTTTTAAGTAATTAATTAAGATTTGATTTAATACAAATTATTCATTCAATCCCTGTGGAGAACGACCTTACTAGAGCATCTATACTATAACTACCTTGTACTCTTGCAAGTATTTTAGTGTTTTTATCTCTACTTTTGCAGGTGGTAAAATCCTTAGCAGGAGGCAAGTGAAATTGCAAAAATATTATCACACCAGATAAGAGGAACCTGAGGAAGATGAAGACCAATATTCGTGAACACTTTACAGATCCATGTGATTTTGGTTGCTGTGTGAGCTAACGATTTGTACTCTACTTCAGTGGAGGAGCGAGCAACAGTTAGTTGCTTCTTAGCACTCTAGCTAATAAGTTTGGACCCCAAAACACTAGTAAATCTTTTATCAAATATGCAGCCAGCCCAATCAGTGTCAAAGTAAGCACTGAGATGAATATCACCTTTCTTGAACCACAAACCATGACTCACTATGCCTTTAAGAAACCTGAGAATGCGTTTGACTGCTTGGAGATGTGATTCTCTTGGAGCATGCATAAATTAACAGACTTGATTTACAACAAAAGACAAATCAGGTCGTGTCCAAGTTAAGTATTGCAACGCTCCTACAATTGACCGATACTCGGTTGGATTTGTTAACAAAGGATGAGTGTGATCAAGCTTGAGTGAACCAAGATGGGTGATACACGGTTTAGCACCTTCCATATGTGTCTTTTGTAGAAGTCAAAGAGGTACTTGCTTTGATGTAAAATGATGCCTTTAGAAGATCTTTGAACCTCAAGGCCCAAGAAATAATGCAAGGGTCCTAAATATTTCACATGAAAGACAGTACCTAATTTCTGAATAAATTGTTGACAAGTTGCAGTATTAGGACCTGTGACAAGTATGTCATCAACATACACCAATATAATAACAAGAACAAGTGCTTTGATCACAAACAGAGAAGCATCCGATTGTGACTGGTGGAATCCCAAGGACTAAAGAACTGCAAATAGTTTGTCAAACCAAGCCCTAGGGGCTTGTTTCAAGCCATACAAGATTTTTTCGAAGTTTGCAGACATGATTGGGGTAGTTGGGATCACTGAAACTTGGTGGTTGTTGCATATAGACATTTGCTTGAAGATCCCCGTGTAAAAAAGCATTACTGATATCCAATTAGTTGAAGAACCAACTGTATTGAGCTGCTAGAGAGAGAAGAATTCGAATTGTCACTAGCTTTGCTACAGGACTAAATGTTTCCTTGTAGTCCAAACCAGCTTGTTGATGAAAGCCTTTGGCAACAAGCCGAGCTTTATATCGATCAATAGTCCCATCTGGATGCTTTTTAACTAAAAAAACCCACTTATAATCGACAATATTCTGATGAGGGTGAAAAGGTACTAGAGACCAGGGACTTATGGACTGCAAGGCATTGTAATCATCATTTATAGCAGACCTCCAATGAGCATGTTTTGAAGCCTAGAGATAAGTGGTTGAGACAAAATCAACAGTTTCAGGCAAATGATGTTTGGTAGTTGAGTAGGCTTTGGGTTTAGTTATTCCAGTCTTGAATCGTGTGATCATAAAATGAATATTAGTTGCTGCAAATAATGGAGATATTATAGGTTGAGATACTATAGGTGGTGCAGGGGTAATATTAACATCCAAAGTGGCAGGTGGTGAAACTGAAGATGGAGAGAGAACAGACTGGGTAACATACTATGTAATGGGACATTAATTGCAGCACATACATTAGAGGGCAACATATTGTGCAACTGGAGCATTGGGAGCAGCAGGTATATTAAATTGCAGAGTAACATTGGGGTTTACTTGTGAAGTGTCATTAGAAGAACTTGATG